CCATCTTGTACAGGGTGCAAGATTTGTAATTGAAATGTATAAATATGTAATCCAAACAGATTAGAGTTAAGGCTGCACAGAGAACTTTTACTCGGGTGTTTTTCCTTTAGTCTATTTCTTCCCAGCTTTACCAGCATAAACCAGTTTTACTATGCATGATACACATAGCTTGCATCTTTCTCTTGCTGTAAGGAATAACGTGCACATTTTATATCTGACAGTTTTAAAATAAAGATTAAGATCATTCCTACTCTGAAGTGACAGAGGACCTCATTAATTTTTAGGAGGTAACATTTGTTGTGTGCAACATGTAATTACTAACCCTGAAAACTGCTCTTCTGAGCAATTGTAGTTGTTCACCTCCAATAGTCAGCTGAACAGCAGAAGGCCATTTGTGGGCAGCAGATGCATCTTCAGGGCAAAAATTTAAAAGAACAAAATTGTCTAGTAGCTGGTAATGCTACTTAATATCTTGACAGTAAACTATATAGAAAGAACAATCTCCTGAACTCCTCTATTCTTAAACAACAGATTCAGGCTGTTTTAACAAAAAAGACTATGACAGAGCTGAATGTATTGACAATGCTAAGATCAAAAAAACCTATAGAACAACAATGTAATTTGAGAGTTCCTTGGAAAGAAAACAGAAGATTTCTCTAGGTGATCCTGCTCTGGCAGGAGGGTTGGACTAGATGATCTTTCGAGGTCCCTTCCAGCCCCTGACATTCTGTGATTCTGTGAAGATTTGGGTCTGGTATTTAGGAAACATGCACACAGGAACCAATCTTATTTAGCAAGATATCTTTGTAAATAAAATTTCTTTTTGCCCTTGATGATATTAAGATTTTTATTTTCCTCTAGAATATTTTCGATAAATACTGCTATTTTGATGTATAAAATTATCTCCTCATTGAGCTCCATTGTCACATCTCAGTTGCAATATTGCTATTAACTCTCTTACCAAAACAAGTTGACCTAATCCACTTGTGAAAGCCTGGCATTTCAGTTAGAGTACCTGAGGACTGATTTCCCCCTTCCAGTGGTTTCACCCTCTTGAGAAGTTTCTTCTAGCAGACTTACATCACACAGAAGGGTACAGCCCCAATGTTTTTTTTTGTACCTTTGCGTGGGAAAAGGTACAAGCTGCTTGCTGTAGTTGAAGAATATTACATAATTTGTGATTTAAATATTACATAGTTTACTGAGGAAATCATCTGCTATCTGTGAGAAACTTGAAATTTTAATACATAAGTACATCAAGGAAGGTTTTTAGAGTGACTTGGGAAAGGACTCAGAAAAGTGCAAAGGACTTCTTTTTTGTCATCACATCAGCACTTTAAGAAACAAGGCAAGTGCTACTTTCAAACCACAATATTTGCGTTTGTTTTCTTTTGTTTTTTTTTTGTACCAACGAGTCTTCAGGATTTATTATCTTGTTTGTGAATATTATTACAGATCCCACTATACCCCATCTGCCTTTCCCCTTTCTTGAGATCTTTGAGGTATGATTTGTGCATTGAGAGGAACAAGTTGAGTTCCTTTTAAAATGCCATGCTTATCCAAAGGGAGGGGAGAAAAGAGACTGAAGTGTGCACCTTCTGCAAATGCTGAAAGGGAGAACTTCACAGCCTCATGCAGTAGGGAGTAAATTTGCCACGTTAGAATGTATATGTAAAATGACTTGAAGAACTCTGGTTATTTGTGAACATTTATTAACATCGAAGGTACATTCTTCAGTTGGAAGACTCATGAAATATTGTGAAAGATGATGTAAGAATCCTGTCTCTGCGTTTAGAAATCTTCCAGGAATAGCTTTTGTCCAGATCTCCACTCACAGTGCAAAAGACACTTGTGTTTTAAACTGTAGGAAGAGGATCACAAAGATGCCTTAATTGTATTTTATACTATTCAATTGCATGTTCCGGTAATTCACAGATTTTTCTGAGTTTGGCTGTACGTAGTGTTCTGCCATCTGTCATACTTACGAGAACATGAAGTTTTGAGACATATTGGTTTTGATCTACACAATATACTGCATTTGTAAAATACTGTTGTTAAAATTTGCAAAACAACTCTGTTGTACCATTATCAGCTCATGATTCCATGTTCTGTAACATGGTCTCAAAATATGGGGAATTCTTTGAGTGATTAATGAGGTGTGCTTGAAAAACCTTGTTTCGTTCTCCAAGGCATCTCTATCTTTAAATGAAACGTGATAGTCTATTCAGTTGTGAGAGAATCTTCAAAAGTCTGCCAGAGTGTCACTGAAGTAGCGCTTTGGCTGAGATTTCAGATAATCTTAAAATAGCAGCAGGGTAGGAATGGCCCCGTTCAGTTTGCCATGTGCCAACTGGAGTGCTAGAGTTCTGGTGCTGTGAAGTGAGGCAAGAAGGAAGCAGTGGTACTGGGTCACTAAATAACACTAGTTCCAAGAAGCTGCAGTTGAGACAAAGATTAGGGTATTGGAAATGAAGAACTGAATTTCAAAGATGTGGATGGTAGGTACATTGAGCACACTTAAAAAGTCTATATAGTGGGGCTATAAATAGGTAACAGTTAACTTCCCCACTCCCCCCGCTCCGCCCTGAGAAGATCAAGGATTTAACTTTCAAATTTTGGCATTCATTCTAGTGTGCAGCACTAAGCAGCTACAGTCATACAGTATTTGTACACCGTGATTGTTTTTCTCTTGCTGCTGTAAAGTAACAAATAATTTTTAATTGGATCTGACATTTTAAAAATACTGAATTATAATTTGTTTCAGCAATGGTTTTACATCAGGCTTATTAAAATAGTTTCAGGTGTATAAAACCAACAGTATGCCATTAATAGAACAAAGTTCCGAGTATGTTATGAGCTGCCTTAGAAAAATTTGATTAAGATAGCCAAAATAAAAAATAACTGAATTGGGCATTGAAGCCTCTCAGAGTGCTTTAAGGAGTGACTGAAGTTATTTCTGGATATCTAAGTCTTCCTCTGCTTGTATGTTTTGCTAAATTAAACAGAGTAGCTGCAGATGGCAGCAAAGATGGAGAAGGTTCAAGCTGCATAATGGACTCCAAGTGACGGATTCCAGTGCTTGAGTGGGACTGGGTGTATTTTGATGTCATAAACAGAGGTCAATGATCAAATGAGAATGTATGTTTGAAATCCTCAGTGGAAAAAGTTCCAACATTTGTTTTATTCTCTACCCATTCTTACAGCTATTAGTATTAACTGTGTGGTAATGTATTCACCTAAAATACAGAAGGTACTCATGGCTCTGAAGCAGGAGGCTAAGAAAAGAGGCTTAGGGAAATAATAATGGTGCCATGTTTTGTTTCATGTTTTTTTAAGAGATTACTCGAAGTCTAGATATCCTACAGTTTAACCCAGAAACCTAGTGACCTTTTTTGGCAGGGCACTGTGAGATAAGCACTATAGTTTCTTCCAGTTTCCAATGCCTTTTACCTTTTTTGTTCTTGGAAATCACTTATCTACTGTAACCAAAAGCTACCCAGCTACTTCTTCCACCTAGAACCTATATCTTGATTTCAAATCAGGGGAAGATGTGGTTGTTTGCTTTTATTGTCCTCTTATAATACCATGTGAAAGTTGGCATTTGTTGCACAGGCTGTTCTTCCTCTAGTGATCACATTCCCGTGACTTGTAACATCCCTGTCAGTCTTCAAAAACTCTTAGCATAAAGTCAAGAAGATTCAATTTTATTTGTAACTTGAAGTAGTTTCCTATTACCCTCTTACTGCTGTCAACAGACACTTTTGTAAAACATCTGCATAGCTGGGATGTTTCACTGCAACATAATGAACTACAGTACTAGAATTAAACACACTGTAGTAGCAAGTAATAACAAATACTTGGTAGAAGTACTCTCCCTGTTTAAGTAGCGAGGTTCTTGTCACCATGTGTCATTCTGTGATTTATACATCCCTTCGTTACTGCTTCTGTCACTTCCTTACTCTCCTCTTGCTACAGTAATTCTCACTTCGTTTATTGTGAGAGCTGGCATTGGATCCTGTAAACATAAAATTGGACAACAGTAATCAGAACAGCTTATCTAAAATTTTAGTTGACAAGCGTGCAGAAAATCTTCTTTAGCAAGTCTACATAGCATATCATGTAGATGAGTAGCTTGGTTTTGATAAATGAACTACTCCCGTCATCCTCAGTCCAATTCAGTTTAATCTATGCATTGTACAGATTAATGTCACTGTCTTCCTTCAGGGGCTCATTCTGTAGATGGAGAAAAGAAGCAGACTAGATTTATATAAACTTCTTACTTGATCTAAATCACTGGAAGGATTGAAGGAATTGTCTCTGTATTTCAGTAGGAGTAGCCTGAGAAGAGTAGAATAATAGCTTGGCTTCACAGACCAGCTGTTTTTCTGGCACACGCATGTGGTAGGAGGAAGAGCCTTGAGCAGGTTGCAGAGCTAACTTTACCTTTTCTGCTTCTGTGTTCTGAGAAGGGGAGGGAGGGAACTGCCTGCTGCAAACCTCTTGCTTGTCTGAAGATGTAATGTTTGAAGTGAGGTGTGTACTTGGAACATTTCAGAATTCAGGCAGCATCGTTCTTAGATATTAATTCTTACTGTTCGTGTGACAAACACTGACTCGTTACAGCACTTACTTATAATGCCATTGGATTAAGAGATACCCAGCACAAAACTTGCTGCCCCTGGACCAAACCAAATTTGGCTGCATTACTTGTATACTGTCTGAAATACAATTCTTTTACAGCTTGTGAGGAGTACATTGGGTTATGACAATGATGTCTGAAATAATATTTGGAGGGAAAGCAAAGCATTTTCAAAATTCTAAATCTTACCATTTTAAAAAATAGCTGAATAAAAATATGCAGTAAACTGAAATTACCTGCGGAGTTATGTAAAAATCAGTGGGAATTTTGACCTTCCTCAAAAGGGAAGGGATGAAGAGTATCAAAATTTTTCATATTATAACTGAATTTGCCATGAGGATGTGTTTGTTTTGGTTTGCAGATCAACCATGGATTTGGAATATTCCTTACACTGATGCCCCTGATACACATGGAAATATGTGGGTTCCATCGTGAATATTTCCAGTATTCTGTGACGTTTCACCAACTGACCCTGAGCCTGCCATGCTACTTGCAAGACTACTTATTTCTGGTTTTTAAGCTATCCTGTCTGTTGTAATAGCTAACTTGTAGTTGAAAGAAACATTAAAATGTTGATAACGGGGAGATTCCTGGAGAATCTATAACCATATTATTATAAGTGAACCTGCATTTTTTAATATCTTTTTGTATCCTTTTCCTTACTGTCATTTCTAGTATGCTTTTCAGGATTAAAACAAGTGTAGACTGTTCTCAGACATTGTCTCTGCATTTTTAGCTGTAATAAATTTAAAATGTACTGTTCTGTAAGACTGTCACTTGACCCCAGTAGTTGGAATAAAAGTTATTGTATGTAAAATTTAAATAGAAATAAAGTCAATCGTGTTTATATATCCTTTGTTCCATCTTCTAAATGTGTACATTTCAAATTTGATGATTATTGCTTTGTGATTATCACTTCTAATGCAGGTTCTAATATTTGCTGGTTTTTGCTTCTTGCAGTATTGAGCTTCTTGTCACTTACTTCCTAATCCACTTTCCCCCTTACTTGCAGAGACACCCAAAACACTAAATTGATGTGCTTGGGTGCTGGAGAGTAGTCTTGAACAGTGTTATGGGATGTATGAAAAATGAAATCTTGCAGCCTGGAAATCTTGTAGTATAGTGTGATACTTCATTTAGAATTCCTTCTGGATCCCAAATAATCTGACTGGGAACTCTTCCAATGCTACCTCATTCATTTTGAGATGTCATTCCCCAAGATGGATTTGGAGTAGACTGTGGGCATGCGCTCCTGCCTAATGTTCATCTAATGTCTATCCCTGTTTCATTCAAAAATTACCATAGACAAGGCATGTGTTTAGGAAATCGTCCTGGCATCTGCCTAGCAAGGAGAAGCCTGCTTACGCTTTCCTACACTGTCCCAGACTAATCCATAGAGAAACTCTGTGAACTAGTCCTTCTTTTCCAGCTTTCCCTGTTGTTCTGCTCTAGTTACATGCAAGTTCTCTGGTGCAGTTATTGGGTGGTCTTTCAAATCCAACAGGCTATGGCTTTGTTGGGGAAATTATTGTACAGTCTCTTAGTCAAATGGTAAATGAAGCTAGATAGTGGAATGGCCTTGTCTGTAACAGAGAGGAATTTTACACTCTTCACAACAAGTATCAGAAGCTTAGGTATTCAGGTTGCTTATTTCTAGGCCCATTATTACTACTTTTTCCTGGATTTGAGAATATTACAAACACTGAGATGAACATGGGTCAGAGTGCTGCTACGATGTCCATGGAACAGATAGGAAGATTGCTTTCTGCTTGCATTTTCCCTCTATTCCATATGCAGAGTCTTTACTGCTTATGTTACATGCAGGAACTGTTGGATTCTGCCCCTGATGAGCCTAAAAAGACAGGGATCAGGGAAAGTAACATGAAAACCGAGCAGTGTGCTCTAAAAACTGAGATAACAACTTCATAGCTGCTGTTACCCTTTCTTTTTAACAGAGTATTATTTTAATTATTTTCATTCTGTGAGAATTAGAGAAATTCTGAGAAGATGTCTCCATATGAGTAAAGCTTTAAGAGTTCTGGAAGGACAGCTAACATTGGACATTTATCCTTAATTTGTGAAGAACGTGATTTATTAATGTTTCATATATGCATATTTCTGTCATAGAGCAGTTTGATCAGCTCTGAGGCATTGCTACTAAAATTCCAGCTGGAATTCTTCTGTTTCCAGGAACGTGACATGGTTTTACTTCAGCTCTCCAGGACTCAGATTACTGCAGTGTCAGAAGATCCTTCCAAAGTCTGCCTGTTGGAACAATTAAGCCAAGTCATCAGTTCTCTCAGGAAAACTCCAGAAATATTTACAACGCAGAGCTGTGACCCAAAGCAACGTGGAGTGTGGTGGAAGGGTGGAAGTGAGGTGCTGCTGGGTGGCAGAGCTGGAGGAAAGAGTAAAGGCTGGGGGTTTGATTCACTGGACAGTATGTGGTGTGAGACGAACTAATGGTTCAAAGGTGCAGTTTGGTTTTTGCTGGTGTATCATAGAATGGCCTAGGCTGGAAGGGACCTTAGAGATCATTTAATCCAACCTCCCTGTCGTGGGCAGGGACGCTTCTCAACTAGATCAGGCAACACGTGGGGACTGAACGGAAATCGAACCCACGACCTTGGTGTTAAACACGAAGTTCTTTTTAACTGTTTAAACAATGCTTGCCCAGAATGGTGAGGAAAACTTGTTTTGAAGAAACTATGGGAAGATAACTAAAACTCCCAGGTGGCAACAGTCTTTGCAGTTAGTCCTGTGCAACCCAAACACAACTGGGTTTCGTGACACCAGGACTGGGCAGGAGGCTCTTGACAAGGCCTTTGGCCAGAACATGCTGTTTAATAACAGTTTTCTAGATGTGCAGCATCTTGGGTGTCTAGAGAGGCCAAGAACACTCCTTGACTGTCCAAATAATTTTTTTTTCTTGTGCTGAGTATTTTCACAGAATCAAAGAATCATTATGGCTGGAAAAGATCCACCGGGGCCTCAACTCCATCATTATGGTTGGAAAGGACCTCCAGGGGCATCAAGTCCAACCTTTTTCTCAGCATTTCTCTAACCACTACACCATATCCTCAAGCAACACATCTATTCATTCTTTAAACACCTCCAGGGATGGCAACTCCACCACCTCCCTGGGCAGCCTGTTCCAGTGCCCTCTCAGTGAAGAATTTCTTCCTAATATCTAATCTAAACCTCCCCTGGCGCAACTTGAGGCCATTCCCCCTCGTCCTATCATTACTAATTTGAGAGACCAACACTAGCCTTACTACAACCTCCTTCTAGGTAGTTGTAGAGGGCAATAAGGTCTCCTCTCAGTCTCTTCTTCTCTAGACTAAACAAACCCAGTTCCCTCAGCCACTCAAAAAAAACTTACAGTTTTCATACCACCCTAATAATTTTTTATTAGGTGTCAGGGCTCTAACATTTGGAAGGTGGAACTGTGAATAAAGAGCAGGAGAAAACAAACTAGTCTCACCCACAGCAGAATGTCTGACAAGTAACTGCATTTGACTCTGGGATCTTTGATTAAAGTGATATTTAGGTCTGAGACCCATGCGCTTCTCCTTTATTTTTAAAAGGTAGTTTGCATTTGAAAAAAAAGAAAAAAGGCAACAGCATTGTTCGTAGAAGTAATTGTTATTCAGCACAACATCTTTATTCCTAAGATATTGCTGATTAATTTATCTTGCTGCTGCAGAAAATGAACGTGTTCTGATGCCCCTTCAAAATTAAGTGCTTTCCATTACAACAACAGTGTACGAATTTATTGCTCGCGCATATCAGTGCAGGCTGGTGCAAGCAACGTGCATACATTTCTGCAGTGCTGCTAATCAGGTTGTAAAGCAGGAAGTAATGCATTTTTCAGTGCCTAAGTGCTTAAAAGTATTTGATCAAGTACGAGCCAATTTTCATGGCTAATGCACTTAGTTATGTTTTGTTAAAGCTCAACTGATTCCTAACTCCCAGCTGTACAAGGTCCCCTACTGGTGTTAGAAACCATCCATCAGAGAGGTCACAGCATGGATGGGAAGCAAATTCTGCCAAGCTGCCATACACCCTGCAGAAGGAGAGATCAAGGTGGATGAGTGGAAATTTGGTTTCACGATGGCACTTCAATATCGGATGGCATTGCTGTAGCCATTAACATAATGGGATTACACCAGCACACGCCCTCTGGGGACAAGGAAGGAAACTTAGTGGTTGTGATTCTGAAAATCTACTGTCAAGGGCAGCATAACGTTGTGCAGTTTCTTACTGGAGTCACATAGTAAAGCAATGATCTAATTTTGGTTTGTTCGAGACCATGACGCAGTGATCGGTCTAGAGCCTTTCTTTTTTCACCGCACTTGAGATTAAAATCCAGCATCACAGAAGGTAAAAAGACATAAAGGTACCATATGTTTTTTTCCACACTAGGTGTGCAAACATGCAGCTATATAACAGCTGTCTCGTTTGGTGGCTTTCGTAAGTGTGTCAGTGTGATTTTTCAGTAATTAATGATATCTTAATTCCTTGTACTTTCTTCTGCTAAGGCTTTCTATGGTTTTGATATTCCAGTCTGTCTTCTAGTAAACAAATATGAACAGAGAAACAAAAATAACGGCACAAAAAATGAAAGTAAATGAAAATTAATAAAGAGAGATAGTGAAGAACTGAAATCAGTAAATTAATGTAACATATAGATATTCACTGTGACATACTCTGGCTACTTACTGTGTGTATTTGAAAAAGTTAGAATAGAGATGTAATGCTCTTTATAGTGCTAGATGCTACCTCATCCAACAGATATTTCTACTGACATCAGTAAAGCTGCTGACATTTCACAGATGTGAAATTAATCCCTGTGACCAGGGATGTCAGAATTTTAGCGGAACACTGACCATAGTCACACCATTCCCTCTCACTTGCCTCTGAGTTTCTTTTAATCTCAGTAACTGTAACTGGAATCCGGAAGGGCAAAAGAAAGAAACACAGCTAAAAGTACTGGAGGCTAAGAAGAAGTGTCTAAGTCAGAGAAGTTTCCTATGTTAATCTACAGTCTTCATACCCTTGGCTTCTTTCCTTTTTGAAATATACTAGCTTCTCTGCTTCTCCATTTATCAAAATTTTATCTCTACTAAAACTAATTCCCAGTTACTGCTTTCTAAACTTTGCTGCAGTGCTTTCAACATAGAGTGACTCCATTGTATTAATCAGAGTAAGGTGTTCATCCTTGAGCTGAAAGTATTTTCCATTGCTTAGAATAGAGCGATACAAGAGGGGGCTCCTGGATTCTTCTATTAACTCTTTTTCTGACTCTCTTCTGACTTTACACAAGTTTATTGTGTGTCTCAGTTCCTCCCTTTACATGCGAACTACTACTGTACGGTTCCAGTACCACTGAACCTGAACAAACAAAAAACTTTGCTCTGAACTGTGGCTGCTTG